GAGTCCGTTACTAAGCAACTGGATTTTGATCATGAAGATGCTGCAGTGGTTGTAAGGGTGAAAAACACCCCTGAGTCATTTTTTTTCCAGTGCCGTTGTAACTTTGAAATAAACTAAATAAACTGTTGTAAGTTGAGGACTACCTCTACCAATTGGCTATCAAAATTCACCTACCCCATCAGTCTCTGGCCTTCAACTCGGTTGAATCTTGGCAACCTTGATAGCTGTGTCTACCAATAGAGACGTAAGCATCTTGGTCCAGACAGATTGGCATATACTACAGCAAGGTGCAGAATTAATCTCCTTGATAAATTCAGCTCTCCCCTTTTTGTGGCACTCCTTTTTTTTATCACTGTAGAGGCAGATGACTTACGTGGGACTTGACTTCTTTGAAAGCCACGGCAGGCTAGTTGTAGGGTAAAACCTGGATTATCCCTTTCTCTCGCGCAGTTGAAGTTTTATTAATCCCTTTCTTTCACCCTGTGTGAAGCCCTGGCAAGCCTCTCTTGCATCTTTTGTCATTATCTCTTTGACAGCTTGCCTTTTGCAGCGCTCGGAGTTCTAGGTCAGTTCACATGGCTAGTCAAACGTGACAACTTGACAAGATTACGGCAAGCCACCTTCTGTAATTTGTAAATAGAGGGAGTTGCTTTCCAATCTGCCGCTGATAATGAAGTGGCAGTATGTGTGCTTGTACATCTGTGGATGTGTTTTTCTCTCTCTCTCTCTCTCTCTGTGTGTGTGTGTGTGTGTGTGTGTGTGTGTGTGCTTGCAGATGCACACCGGTGCACTCAAGTATTTCTGCGCGTTTCTCGCTAGCCGAAAAAGTTTCCAGGATATAGCAAGAAAATAAAATAAAATAAAGAATGCAGAAGTCATCCAAAGCAGTAAATCAAAGTTTCTGGTTGGGCAGAGTGCAGATCCTTCAATCATAGAGAGAGACTGTCTCTCTTCATTTGGAGTAGAAACTTTTTGAAGATGTGCAAATAGCACCCAATTCAGGAACAGAATTTTCTGGAAAACTGTGAAGGGTTTTATTACCTCTCTGGAGACCACTGAAACTCCCCATGGATAGGATAGTAATCCTAGAGAAGTAATCTATGGGCCTTGCACATCCTTAATTCTTTTTTTATTTAAACAGGGCCCATCACCATTCCTAGAAATATAGGCCAACTTCCTGCATGGTCCAGGAATCAAAATTAACAGCAGTCCTTGGTTAACAACATTTGTTCAGTGATCAAAGTTACAATGGCAATGAACAAGTGACACAACAAGTCCTCAAAGTGCTGGCCATCCCAGCATTGTACCATCATGTGATCCAGATTTGGGCACGTGGCAACTGGTTTGCACTTGCAATAGTTGTGGACATATGATTGCCATTTGCAACACTCCCTCTGACTTCCCAAAAACATTATTTGGGTGGTTAGTTGTGAGGGGCATGGCTGACAAGACATGATGCTCAGTACCCAAGTCCCGTCCTAACTGTATCAGTGCCAAGAAGATAAGCTAGCATAGGAGAAAGAATGAAAGTTGTTACTTTAGGCCAGGGTTCTAAAACTGGCAATTAAATTTCTGAGCCTTCGTGCCTATCCTAGTAGGTAAGTTTCTGAGGTTTGTGAATGATCAGACACAACTGCCTCTAAAATGCCTGATGTTCTCCAGATGTGTTGAGACTATCTATCCCAAATTTTATAAAACTGGGTGGAGTTATAGTTCTGAGATTTGGAAAGCACCCAAAGGGACCAGATTGTAGAAGATGGTCTACCTCCATCGTAACCTCCTTTAGGCTATAAATCCAGCATTTTGAATTCTGTGGAGCAAGATAATTACAATTTTAACCAGAACAGGTTCCAGAATAACGTCTGATATTGCAGAATAATTTCTTTATGCTTTTTGCCGTTCCTGATCCATATCAGGGGTCAACCGAAATGCAGGGTCCGTGTTTGTACACCTTAACGTATAAGGAGAAATTATAAAAATAGGAAGCCAGTGGAGTCTCGTTGAAAGAAATTATGAGGACAAAAGAAACTCAGTAGCCCGTGGGAAGGAAATACTCAAGGTTTCCTTGTTCCCAGCTAACAATGGGACTTGTGCTGCAGGTGGCATCTGCATGCAGAAGACTCAGCTTTTGAACTTCTCAATTTTCGTAACATGTAAAGGCGTGTTTTGAAATTAGCATTTAAAAAGAAGCTGACACTGTCCTTTTTTCCTTGGTGGAAATGAAATTTATTAATCATAATAAAATTGTCATATTCGGAAGGTAGAGGTCACCCTGAGGAGGAAAAAAAAGGGGGGGGGCTATTCATCAACTGAGAGGAACACGTTGCATGCTGTTAGGTAACATTTATGGGTTGGTTCTTTGGAAAGACATTTTTCCATAGAAGGATTGTTCTGTGACAGATTTGATGCTGGCTGTTGTTAAGAGAAGAACCGTCTCTTTCAAAGCACCACCTGATTATCATTCCCTGCTTATCTTAAGCAAGGCATGTCCATATAAACTGGACGTCATGCCTGCGTGATTTGTCCACTTTGTTTTGGTGGAGGAATTGAATGAAATCTCGAAATTGAAGGGAAACTTCAGCCTTTCCTTCTCCAGCAAAATATCTGATTTGAGGAAAGGCTGAGAAAGTTTCATGGCCCATTGTAACATTTTCCCAAGAGGATTTTTGCACATTCCTCAATAGTTTTCCACAGATAAAGGAGGAAAAATAAAAAGAAATTTCTCCTTGTATAAGCTAGCTGTTGAGTTTTGGGGAGTGGGGGAGGAAATCCAGCGACCTTTCAAATAAGTATTGGAGTTTTGTTTTTTTTAACAGATAGTTTTCACCTAGGTCAGGGGTAGGCAAGCTTGGCTGGCTCAGGAATTCTGGGAGTTGAAGTCCACAAGTCATAAAAGAGCCAAGGTCGCCTACCCCTGACCTAGGTTGTCTAAAATGTTTTGAATGTTGAACAGTTTGATTTAAATAGACTCCCGCCTTTGAGTTTCTTTCAAAGAGCTCTTTTTGACTTCAAAGTGCTTCAGTCCTGGGGTAGTTAAAACAGTCTGTTTAAAATGGAAACAAATATATTTAACCTGAGATGGCATATTTCCAGCTCAAAATATTTTCCGCCTGGAAATGTTTAGCCACTTGACTAATTTTTCTACATGCCACACCGTATTTTCAAAAATTGGACAAGTAGTTCACTCTACCTTTTGGAAGAATAAAGAATAATGAAAGAAGATCACCTCTGAATCCAAACACATCAGGTTTAATTTTTTTTGAATTACGTTCTTGGTTTTTTTCTAACAATGAATAGCACTAATATATTATCTGTCTGTCTGTCTGTCTGTCTATCTGTCTATCTTTTAATCTATCTTCTAATCTATCTATCTATCATATATATATATATATATATATATATATATATATATATATATATATATATATATATATATACTATCTATCTCTTCTAATCTATCTCTGTCTGTCTATCTATCTATCTATCTATCTTCTAATCTATCTATTATCTATCTGTCTATCTATCTATCTATCTATCTATCTATCTATCTATCTATCTGTCTGTCTGTCTATCTACCTATCTTCTTATCTGTCCGTCCATCCATCCATCCATCCATCCATCCATCCATCCATCCATCCATCCATCCATGTAATCTATCTATCTATCTATCTATCTATCTATCTATCTATCTATCTATCTATCTATCTATCTATCTATCTGACATATGGACAATACAATATGCAAGACAATATATTAAATCAAGATAAAAACGACAATAAAATCACCATAACCATAACAGCCAAAGAACTGTAATGGGATACATGTTATAATTCAATGTCTAACGAAGCTAACCACCTAACTGCTTCTGGTGTAGCTGTGGTGGGATTATACCAGGTGAAACTGTGAAACTCACCACAGTCCACACACTGCAGAACAACTTGCCACAGGACAATTCAATAATTCTATTTAATTATTTAAAATAATTAAAAATATTTTAATTTTTGTCATTCACATTTCAACAGCAAGGTTGTGAAGTTAATTATGCTAATACAGTGCATCAGTCACCCAATGAGTTTTCATGGCTGAAGGAGGTCTAAAACCTCACCACTTTTAATCCAGACCTTCCTCAATTACACTTCAGCTAAGAAAAAGAGATCGGAAAGTCATCCTTGAGTTTCCATAGCGAAGGAGAGTCTAAAATATGAGTGTTCCCCATCTTTGTCCAGGACCTTCACTGTGATACAGAACAGGACAACTCACCACAGCCAACTTGTCACAATTGTTGAGACAATTCAACAATTCAATTTAATTATTTAAAATAATTAAAAAAATGTTTTATTTTTTGTCATTCACATTTCATTTTGTCCCTCCTTTGGCATCCTTTCTTTAATGATTCTGTTCCACCATTTCATCGATATTAGTATAACTTTTGTCCCACAGGGAGTTGGCCATGATAAATTATCTTGTGGCAAGTTGACCGTGGTGAGTTGGCCATGGTGAGGTGGTCATGGTCAGTTGGCCGCAGTGACTTGACTGCGGTGAGTTGTCCTAGACCTATACCAGGCACCTTGAAATTTCCTGAGGGGGCATTCTTGAACTATTCCTGTGGAAGAGACCACTGCGATTCCTACTGCGTTGAAGGAAGAACGAACAGGAGCTGTTGGCCATACGTTCTCTCCTATTGAAACGTTGAACGTCTTTGTTCTGCAGCCTTGCGTGTTGGCTGCTTCATGTTAATCTCCTCCGGCTAATCATCCAGCCCTCATTAGGGTCCTTTGTCACCCAATCTCCAGAGGAGATTGCTTCCATAACATGCTGAGTCAGCTCATTTCCAATGTAATTGAGTAGAATGGAATGTTTGATTGCATTCATTTTGTAATTTCTTTCTGGCTCTAACCTCTGGGGTTGATGCTGTTTCTTTTCCTTTTTTTTTTCTTTGTACTTATGTATATATGTGTGTGTGTGTCTATAATTAATCCAGAGCTCTGCTTCTTTTGTAGTTACGGACGACTTTATGCTGCAGACCCCTACCACCACACACTTGCTCCAGCAGCCACCTACGGCGTTGGTGCCATGGTAAGTGTTTGCCTCCTTCTCCCCCTATCTCCTTTTAACCCAGCTTCAAGTGCTTTTTCCTCCCTTCCTCTCCTCCATCCTTAACATGGTTGACATCTCCTCACTTTTCCTTAATTGAATTTGTCTCTTCTGCTAACGGCAGCTAAAATGCCACATTAATCCTTCCCAGTAAACTTGATAAATGTCTTAATTTCTTGGCAATGTAGTGCATGTAAGTTATTATATTTTTAATTTTGCAAGTATCACCTAGCCGAGCACTTACCTTAATGGAATAATTAGTCATTTTGATAATTAAATCCATCACAAGGGGAAGGCATTCGTGGAGATGTCCCTTCTCCTCAAACCCACCCACCCCCGTCGCCCCTTCGCCAATTGAATTTATACAGCCCTGAGGTCCAAGTCACACCGGTGCTTCGTACAAAGAGCTGAAAAAGAGATTTCCAAGCTGGTGCAGGCAGTTAGCCCACACTTTTGCTATTTCCTCTCCACTGTAGTTAATAATCCAAAATGAGGCATATAGCAAGAGAGGAAGGCTACGTTTAGCCCCCCCCTTGACTTTCAGGGAAATGGAATATCCTGGTTCAGAAGAATCTCTAGTTGTACAAAGCTAAAATGTAACCCATCAAAAACCCACAGGGAAACTGCATTGGGCACTGTGGACCTTTTTGCATTCTTAGCAAACATCTCTCCTGGAGTCAAAAGTGGAGCCACTTTTTACCATGAAATTAAAATAACGTGTAAAAACGAGCAAATATTAGTAACAGAAATGGGCCAAAATGGAGACAAGCTTGCTTGACCTTAACCAAATCCCTCTGACTCAAAAAAAAAAAGAAAAAAGAAAAAAGAAAAGAAAAGACTCAAGCCACAATCATTTTTGTACACTGGGGGCCCAGTTTTATCATGTATGTTTGTGTGGGAGAGTGTGTGTGTATTCAAAGTCGAAAATATATACGTATATATCATATAATTTTCCAGGACCTTATGTAGAAGCCTTATGTCAGAAGCATTGCATTCCTGTCTTAAAATTTATTTCTGTTTATATAGTCATAGTAGTAGCAACAATGCTTTATAGATTAGCCAAAAGGCCAAATCAAAATACAAGAGGGTGAAGAAAATAATCCAGAACAGTATAAAAACAACACCTTAGCCCCTATAGGTAGCAATAGCAATAGACTTATCTTAATGATTGTACCCCTTTTTTATAATCACATAGTTGTGCCCCCCCAACCACAATCACATTGATTATAACAATATCATAACAATACTCTAACAATATTACAACAATATTTAACTATGGTTAAAGGCCTGGAAACTAAAACATATGAAGAATGGTTGCAGGATTCGGGTATGGCTAGTTTAGAGAAAAGAAGGATTAAGGGTGGCCTGATATCAGTATTTCAGTATTTGAGGGGCTGCCACGAAGAAGAGGGGGTCAACTTAGTTTCCAAAGCACTAGAGGGCAGGACAAGAAGCAATGGTTGGAAACTAGTCAAGGAGAGAAGCAACCTGGAATTAAGGAGAAACTTCCTAACAGGGAGGACAATTAACCAGTGGAACGGTTTGCCACCAGAAATCGTGGGCACTCCATCACTGGAGATTATTAAGAAGAGGCTAGACAGTCACTTGTCTGAGATGGTATAAGTTCTCCTGCTAGAGCAGGGGGGGTGGACTAGAAGACCTCCAAGGTCCCTTCCAGCTCTATTCTATTCTAATCACTTCTCTTGATTCTTCCAATTTTACTCCCAGCACAACAATCTGGTGGAATTGGTTATAGCTGGTTGTGAATCATCCAAGGACAGACCAGGCTGAGTTTAAGAGAATAACAGAATTACAGAGTTGGAAGGGACCTTGGAGGTCTTCTAGCCCACCCCAAGCAGGAAACCCTATACCATGTCAGACAAATGCTTGTCCAGTCTCTTCTCAAAAGTCTCCAGTGATGAAGCACCCAAAACTTCTGAAGGCAATATGTTCCAATGGTTAATTGTTCTCGCTGTCAGGAAATTTCTCCTTAGTTCTAGTTTTGTTCTTTCCTTGATTAGTTTGCATCCCTTGTTTCTTGTTTTGCCTTCAGGTGCTTTGGAGAATAGCTTGACCCTCTCTTCTTTGTTGCAGCCCCTCAGATATTGGAATACTGCTATCATGTCATCCCTAGCAATTTATTTCACTAGATTAAACATACCCAATTCCTGCAACCATTCTTCATATGTTTTAGCCTCCAGCCCCCTAAATAGTCATCTTTTTTACTCTAGTCTGCACTCTTTCCAGAATCTCAAAATCTTTTTTACACCATGATGTCCAAAACCAGATGTAATATCTTTTTATAGTAAAGTTATCTTTCTGTAGTAGTTGGGAAATTACTTGTCTGAAAATCTGACTATCTTGATTTGGGCTCTTGATGGTTTATTTCAATAGACATATTGCAGTTGAGCGGAGTCTGGACTCCTTTAAAATGGGTTATTCTTCTTTTATTTTTCTCTTTTCATTTTGAGTATACCTTTGGGCAAAACTGTGCATCAAACCTACCATACTGGTCGTCATGCTACTATGTTATAAATACTGATGGATTAAAAGCTAGTAAAATCTTGCCCTGGGTTATAACCTTTATAGTTAAAAAAATACACAAAGCATGCTCTGTGACAGAGTGTTGAATAACATGGAGAACTTCTTTGAAACTCTGAAAGTTTATGAAATTATCCTGAAACGGTCTATCCCCCATAATCGGTGCCTCTCTTGTTATTGAGGAAGCAGAACATACAGTGTATTATTGATTCCATAGCTAGACTGATCAGTATGCCCAGGTCTCTGGGTAGTGTAAGCTTATTAAAATGGATTATTTTTTAAAAAATACAGGAGTATTAAAAAAGCCAAAGCTCCAGAAGTAAAAGAAGCATCAGCAGTAAAATAGCCAGTGTTTATCAAGGTGAATCAGTTTAAAATATCTGGACTTCAACTCCCAGAATTCCTGGAGATGAAATCCACGTAATCTTAAAGTTGCCAACTTTGAGAAACATTGCAATCAGTCACGATACCATTGCAGCAAATGGCACGTTAGCTGTGCTAGGCTTCCTAGAACTCAGTGGTGGTATTAGCCAGTTTGCACCACTTCGACAGAACCGATAGCTAATTTTTTGTTGCCCAGACCCAGAATGGACTTACGGAAGCGTCATCCACACAGAGAAACAGTTGTTCACCTATTGGAATCCCACCACTGGTAGGACAATGAAAACTTGCTCTGTCCAATTCTCTGGACAGCTGTTGAGCACAAGAGAATCCTTCTGCATTTTAGCCCAGGGCATCCAATAATCCTGTTAATTGGGGGTTGATTTGATTTGGGGTTGCAGAGTTTTTAGCCTTCTCTAAAAACCAGAGAATTAGGCAATTGGGGAATGGGACCAATCTTGGCAGCTTGGTATTCAGATATTCAGGAAATAGAATAATTACGGTAAGCGTGCAGCAACGCCTTTGGGGTGAAAGGAGATGATGCAGAAATGATCTGATCGGATGACATGATATTTTGCAGGAGCATAGAGCATTTTGCATGGGGTTTGGGTGGGAGCTAGGAGACCTCTGGGACCAGCTGGTTAAAGGGAGGGCTACTGCCTAGTTCCGTGGTGGTGAACCTATGGCACGGGGCCCAGAGGCGGCACTCAGAGCCCTCTCTGCGGGCACGCGTGCCGTCGCCCCAGTCCTAGGCTTTCAGCTGGGTTTTATAAAACCTTTACGCTTTAGGCCTCCACTGCCGTATACAAAAAAAAGGTTCAATCATCAATTTCAACTTCTCCCGGGGATGGGGGGGGAGAAGATCTCGCAAAGTTGGAATTGATTGAATTTTTTAACCCCACCCAGTCTGCCATTACCACCGCAGCCACGCCCACCTAGCACCCGATGATACATAAGTGGGTTTTGGGTTGCAGTTTGGGCAGTCGGTCTCTAAAAGGTTCGCCATCACTGGCCTAGTTATTTAACGATTATTTAACAGAGGAGCACGGTGGCTCATGTGGTTAGGATGAAGATTAGCAAGCCCGCCTTCGAGGCACAAGTGCTGTTGCAAGGCAGGGTGAGCTCTCGTCCTTTGCTCCAGCTCCTGCCAGGGTTTATGAAAGGAGCCCCCAAACTTGGCATCCCCCTGACAATGATGATGTCATTGGCTTATCCTTTCAACCCAAAAGCACCTCAGTCCTTTCAACCCGAATGCAGTTTAACAGTGATATCCCTGTGATGATCACACTTTTAGGGTAGAACCAGGCTTAAGTTATTTTAACTGTTCCATAAAGCTGTGGCTTTCTTCATCCCATATGTCCACACAAAGTGGAGGGACTTGAAGGTCTAAGGCAGGGGTAGGCAACCTGGGCTCTTTTATGACTTGTGGACTTCAACTCCCAGAATTCCTGAGCTAGCATGGCTAAGCTTGGAAACCTCTCCCTTTCCCCTCAGCATTGCTGGTTCGGGAATTCTGGGAGTCAAAGTCCGTGAGTCATGAAGGGGGCCATAGCTCCCCCATGCTGGCTCAGGAATTCTGGGAGTTGAAGTCCACGAGTCATAAAAGAGCCAGGGGGTAGGCAATCTTGGCTCTTTTATGACTCGTGACTTCAATTCCCAGAATTCCTGAGCCAGCATGGGGGAACTATGGCCCCTTCATGATTCGTGAACTTCAACTCCAGAATTCCTAAGCCAGCATGGCTCAGCTTGGAAACCTCTCCCTTTCCCCTCAGCATGGCTGGCTCAGGAATTCTGGGAGTAGAAGTCCATGAGTCATAAAAGAGCCAAGGTTGCCTACCCCTGGTCTAAGGAGAAGCCTTCAGATCATTCTGCATGTGAAACGGGAATACCATTTAAGCAGTTAAATTGGTCACCTTACTGGGTGACCCTCGTCACTTTTAAAGTGATTTGGAAGGACAAAAATGGGGAAAGCATCTTTTTTGGCAGGCTTGAAATGAAATAAATAAATCGCAAAGAGATGGAAAGCAGTTTACCCAAGTGTTATTTTTTTTTTTCCTCTT